CTCCTTCTGCCTCATTCTCCCTTTTGGTTCTCTGGTGGTTCCAGGAATGCACTCCTGGATGTAGAGTTTGCCAAGAAAGGTTTTCGGCTCCCTGCAGCCCGGAAGACTGGCACCACAATTGCTGGCGTTGTGTTCAAGGTGAGGCAAAAAAAGGATGATATATAGCATCGTCCGCTTTCGTGACCTGTTGACTGTTCCTTCAGGTGGCAAGAGACATTGTAGCAATGCATACCATATGAAACCTAGGTGGAGAATAACATGAAGTCTTATCTACAGGAGGTCCCTGACTTGCGCTGTGATCGGTTCCAGGGAAGCATCGCAAGTCGGGGGTGTCATAACTCGAACTCTCAATTACAATAGGTGCCGTGCGCCTGTCGTAAATGCGGGCCAAGAATGTAAGTCGGGGGGTTCAGGCCCCTTCCGTACTTACAAAATTGGTTGTAAGTGCAGGGAGTCAGAACTCAGGCGGTCGCATCTCGGGGGGCCTCCTGTATTCAGTTAAGGTCTACTATCCAGACAGTCATCACTTGAAAGTTCCAGAAATGGCCTCCTCAGCTAACATTGCTTGCTGGGCGCGGCATCTTGTCCACTGCCGACTTTGTCATCTCTCTTCACTCAAAAGTAGGGATGTAAAATCCCTTTTAATCAGTTAACCGGTTAAACGCTATGTTTAACCAGTTAACTGCTAAAATGGGGGTGGACGTTGGGGCTGGAGCGGCCTTAGGCTGGAGTTCACTCCTCCCTCCATCCCCTGCAGTATGGTGCATCAGTCCTAGCTGGAAGGGCAAGTCCCCGCCTGCATTGGGTAGGTGGCTGCTCCAGCCTGGTGGAGCTGCCAGGTGATGTTTACTAGTTAACCATTCACACATTCCTACTCAAAAACTCTGTTTAGTACACTTGCTCTTTCCTGTTACATTGCTGTATATTTGGTGTTATGGGAACTTGTGTTTAAAAAAAGAAAAGACTCCATCATCATCAATTACAAATTCTTCTACAGCCTAGTCTTTACCATTTTCTCTCTCTGAGGGTACATTATTGTTGTAAGAATTGTAGGCAGTGACAGTGGTTACTGTTATTGAATGAGACAGACTACTCTAAATGAGCAATAAAATAATGCATTTTTTCTAGATCTTGACAAATTTTTGATTAAGTATCTCTTCTTTTCTGTAGGATGGCATAGTCCTTGGAGCAGATACAAGAGCAACTGAGGGGATGGTTGTTGCTGACAAGAACTGTTCAAAAATACACTTCATTTCTCCCAATATCTAGTACGTATTAAAACTGCCAGTGTTACAGAAAGTAAAGTTTAATTTTAGTGTTGATTCTTGTAAACTATGCACCTTATTGCTAATGCCACACAATGAGAACTTTGAAATGGTAGTTAATTTCACCAGTATTGTAGTTTGGTTTTTCTGGTGGTCATTCATGCCAGACAATAAAAATAGGCAAATTTGCATCACAGTTAGTATCCTGTCAGTTTCATTTTTCCTCCTATGCCAGCATAAGGCTGTAATGATTGGGTTGAAATAACTCCAAGAGTGTATCTAAGTAGGAAGCAGTGACACGTCACTCTACAGTTGCTAGTGAAGGACCTTTTTGTGCAGATGCCTGTTAACTCTGAATGCATGTGAGCCGTCTTTGTATACTACAAGGGACAGGAAACTATAACTCTTATTGGATTTGATTAAATCAAAGCAAATTGAGGAGATGATAATAATCTGGCACATTAAATAATTTTAATTTTCCCTGTCTGAATAGCCAGTTTCTACCTTTGTAGTGGCATGGCCTTTTTACACTTCATGGAAGTTTAAAGCCAGTTCTACTTCTAGTGACCAAAAGAACAGGGACGTTAATTAAAAACAAAGGTTTAAGAGTTTTTAACTTGGTAACTTGCCAAAAATGTTTTCCAGTTGTTGTGGTGCTGGGACAGCTGCAGATACTGATATGACAACTCAGCTGATCTCTTCCAATCTTGAGCTCCATTCCTTGTCTACTGGACGGCTTCCGAGAGTTGTCACAGCTAATAGAATGCTCAAACAGATGCTTTTCAGGTAACTCTATGCGTTCACTTTTATGTTAAACACAGACACTGGGTATAACTGGGAAATACGCTCTTTTAAGTTAAATGTTAGTTTACCCTGAAGGAGACTGTGTTCATTATCAGGATTTTATAAACTATTCCCTGGTTCACCTGACCTTAAGGGAATGGGATAGAAATGAATATCTAAATTGTTAGTATATAAAGTAAAAATAACTGTGTGGCTTCAAAACAAAGGGCAGATCAAATAAGGTGGCTGTATTTAATATTGGCTAATGGTTAAGACTGGCATGTTTTTGAAAGATGCACATTTAGATTATTACGCATGGAGAAACGACCTGTTATAATAATGAAAAAATACTTTAGTTTTCAGAATGCATGTATTATGTTAGAGTGAAACACAGTTTATCCTTTTATTCTGAATGCCTGTATTCATGTTTGCACATTGTCCATCAGGTACCAGGGTTACATTGGTGCTGCTCTGGTTTTAGGGGGAGTAGATGTCTCTGGACCCCACCTCTACAGCATCTATCCTCATGGATCAACTGACAAATTGCCCTTTGTTACTATGGGTGAGTAATGTAGCTTTACTTGGGAAGACAGTAGTAACAGTGTCTGCTAACTGAAATGCCTGTAGTTGTATTTCATACAAATTTAAATTCTCTGACTCATAAGTGGTGATGAGAGTTCAGCATTAAAGGCAGAATTTTACCTGCCTCTGTAAGCTATGGATGGTTTTGTTCCTTCCAATTACATTTCAAAACCACTTCTGTAACTTCTCATGCCCCAATAATATGGACAGTTGTGGGAGAACTGGTGTTAGATACATGGATTCCTTAGCAGACTCCACACTTTGACTCTTTACTCTTCTTATTTACTGGCCATTTGAAGTAAAGCTCCCCTAGCTCTTTTTGTAAGAGTTGGGTTACTAACCCTGTGTCTTGCCCAAATTCCAGCTTGGGTAACTACATTCTCTCTCATGTTTGTTTCCCTGGTGGTTTCATGCTTCGCTCTGTGTCTGAAATGGTTGTGAAGTATTTTCTTTATGCTGCAAAATAGCAGTTGTATCCCACTCCATAGAAGTGGCAGCATTTCAGTGGTGAGTGAAGTATTTTCTGTGGAGCTTTTTGCCTGTCTTGATATGGTAAAGGTTTAATTAATGTGAGTTTCTCAGTATGGTAGGGAACAGAAATTCCCAGTCTCTTCCTCAGTGTTCACTGTAGCCTCTAGTATCAGTAACTGACGTTGTAGACTGCTACTTCAAATCATTCAACTGCTACTACCTTGAGACTCTTCAATCCTGCTGCGTAATCTACCCTTTCATAGTATTTTTCTGCAACTGCAGAATGAGAGGTACATTTAATTGCATTTTAGATGGGCCCTCGTAATTTCTTTCTAAGCTGTTTAGTTATTGGCTTAGGCTGATGTAGGCAGTTTTATTCAAATGCCATACACCATCTCACGCTCTGGTCTTCATAACATCTCATGTTTTTTCCTCTTGCTTTTCAAAATTCACTTTTCCCACAGACTTCTGTTCCTGGGGTGTCTGCTCTTCTCCTCTTATCTTGTACCAATATCTAGTTTAATATCAAATCTTATAGAGCATTGAGGACCACATGAAAGAAAAAATTCAATAGGTTTTTATAAAACATACACTGGAAGTATCTAATACATAGAGCCCTGCAGTTTAACATATGTGGTGTATGTGAGCAAAATACATGTCAATTGTTCAACTTTTGTGTTTCCTCTTTGGAGCAGCACAACACAAATCATTGTGCACGCTGGCTGACTGTCTGTCTTTTAGGAAAAAAAAACACTGCTCCTATCCTGTGATTCTGCCTCCTAGAGGTGTAGGAGGCAAGTACAGAGCTTATTGCCCTTGTAACTCGATTTTGCCTACTACCAAGAAGCATGAGTGCAATCATAAAAAGGAATTTGAGTTCCTTCTAACTTTCAGACCCTTTTAAATGAAGTTTCTGAACAAAATATAAATGTCTCCATGGAGTATGCTTGGAGGTCACTTATCACAGAGCATAGAATCTGTGTCCTAGAGGCTTGTCATTCTCTCTCCACCAGTGTTCATACTTCACGTCTAAGCATAGCTTTTCTGCAGTAATTGTACAGGTTTGCCTTTAAACTAAAACTGAATGTTTCAGAAAGAACCTGGAGGAATACTCAGTTTGTGTCCACATTTAATACTGATAGGATCTCCCTGGTCCAGCACCCAAGCGGTCCCGAACCGTGGAGTTTGCCAGACCAGGGAAAGTCACGGTTCCACTCCCAGCTGTTGGTCCTACTCCCTGCCACTAGCCATGCTGGACCCTGAACCTGGCCAGCTAGGGCTTCCTGTTCCAGCAATATTGCTGGACCAGAGAGTTCTGGATGTTAGAGATTCAACCTGTATCCTTTATTTTGATTGACCTCTTTCTCTGAAGACAAATGCTTGAACAGTCATGTGAAATGAAAACTTTCTGGGGTATCCACATTTGAATTCTTTGATTCTTCAAACATCTAAAGACATGTGGAAAATGCTGCCCTCTATGAAATGTTCCAATTCAGCTTGGGAACTTAGAACATTCGCAGATGGTATGCTACACTCCACTGTTATTAAAATAGTAGGAATTGCAACCAGTGAGGAGTAGTAGAGAAGCTAATGCAAAATTCTTCATAATTCCATTGTTCAGGAAAGTGATCTGATGGCAAGAGTTGGGCTCCTCAGTAGAATTGGGCAATCAAACTTTTGTCCGAAAGGGATTGCACCTGCCAGCTGGTGAGGGCCAAACATGGCTTCCACAAAGTTACAGTGACTTCAGATACTCATGGTTAACATGAAAGATGCCTTTTCAGCTGACCAGATTACAGTGAATCTTTGCTAGCTATTATCTTTGCTAGACATGTTAAAGGGACACTCTCAATTTAAAATTCACACGTGAACTTGGACATTCTGTCCCTACTATTGTTACAATAGGTCAGATTGCTGCATTTGAAACATGAGAGAGGTACTCTTAACTTTTCAGTTGGGTCTTTGGTGCACTTGATAATGCTGTATTTCATGTGTCTAGTCAGTCTTTGTTTCCTCATGTAATGTGTGACCATTGAAGATATATTTGAACTTTAAAAGAACAAAGGTGAATTTGGATGTGGGCTACTTGATAAGTTACTAATTTGCCTTCAGATGCGCTCTTGCCAGTGGAATTATAAAATGAAGTAATAGGTATTCTTTCACTTACCATTTCTGTAGTTAGTGCTCACCTAGGGCCACGTTTTTGGTCATTGTAAATTACTGGGATTGCATGATATCTCCACTCCAGCTATTGCCTCCACGTTAATCAGATGAATAATTTTAAAATTTTAAAGAAATCCCTTGTAGACATTGTTTTCTTAATTCTCTATTAATTAACTTTTTTTTGCTAGGCAGATGTAAGCATTCATTTACAGCTTCTTGGGGGCTATCTCCAGCTCTTGGGTTGTTGACACTTCTTGTAGGAGCAGTGGTAAAAGTGGATCAGAGTCTGAACTTGCTAGTTTATCCTCTACAGGATTTCAATATGACTAGAATTATTTTTAAAGGAACAGTTATCTGGAAACTAGGGCATTAGACAATCTGGGAATACTAACTTACAGAATAAACATTATGCCCCCTCAGGGAAGCCTGGGGATATCTATCCAAGTCATCTAGATAAGATTTTATCTCTCGGTACATTGATCAATTTTTTAATTATTCAGACATGTCCAGAGGACTCCTATGTTCAGAATCCTGTATAATTTAACAAGCTCTCTGACTTGCAGGTGAGCCATAATGACTGACGATAATCTTTGTAGTTTTGTTACAGGAAGGAAAGTAGCATAGAAATATCACTGAAGGTAAAGCCACAGAAATTGCAGTAGCTCAGAATTTCACCCATTCTCTCCTAAGTGAGCATTTATAGCAGGAGTGTCAAACTCTTTCTTTAGAAAGAGCTGAATTCTATTTCAAATGATGGTCTGTGGAATAAATTTAGGACTGCTGGGTCACCTGTACCCACAGCAGACAAGGAGTGACATTAACAGGAGAGTTGCACAAAGTTCTAATACAGAAACTATGGCCTCTAGCCGGTAATTAAAAGTTTTGTCGTCCTTATTTAAATTGTAGTCTTATAAATAAGTAATGAAATGCAAATTATTTGTACAGTGACATGATTGGACTTTATAGTTAATTCTCATTTGAACATTAATGTAGCTGGGCATGTTGACGTTGCCAGAGCCATTATTGCAGGCTGTCTGTAGACTCAGGAAATCAACTTTTCATCATTTGACTCTTGACTTTTTATTTTGGAGGTTGAGGACTTTTAAATGAAAGTGTACGTTCTGCAGAATCTGAATGTAATGTGCACATAAGTAGATCAAATGGGCTGGATCTGTCCTGTTGGCCAGGAGTGTGACACGCCGATTAACAAAGTATTTACATTTGTTCTTATCTCTAGTATGATTACTGTCATTCTAAGAGAGTCTCAAATGGAGAAAGCTGAACTGAAATTAAGGGTAGGTTACTTATTGCTCTCTACATAGGCGCTTCTTGACAGATTCCTCAGATTAGTCATATAAAATGCTCTTTTTATTGTAAATTGTTCGAAGTTTTGAAGGGCTATCTTCAGTAATATTTTCCATTTAGTTAGAATACCTTAAAATGGCTTCCATGACAGCTGGAAATTGGATGACTCTTGTTGCTGCTGACTCAGACCCCAATGGCCAAGGATCCTGCTTCTCTAAAACACAGAACCAAAACACTGGATCCCTGACGTTTTCCTGGAGGCCAGGGGTAGCACCTCTGTCGAGGACATGGTGTTATAACACTTTAGGATATTTACTCTAACCCACGGCTCTCCCTTCCCCACCTATCAGTTCCTCAGTTATAACTTGCCCAGAATGCCACATTATTGAATAGATGGACTGATAAAATAGATGTTTACTAGAGGTTGTGGTTAATGGAACGCTTTTTTACCAATCTATTTGACCCTCATGCCATCCTCTTTCCTCCCTTCCCTCTCCCATGCTACTCCCTGCTGAATTCACAGGCATAATAGGGCTATTTTTATTGGCATTGTAGCGTTCTGCTTAATTTGTTAATCTGAAGAACAGGACAGAAGAATGTCTTTTATTGACTAGATTATAAAAACATTTCTGGAGTCTGCCAAGAGTGTGTCTTTGAGGAGAGTCTGGAGACACAATGAGATAATGAGCTGTACAATTCATCATTACTTTTGTGTAATTTTAATTTTGTTTTTCATGTGACTAAAAGCTAGATATTCTAAACTCCTTTGTGTACGTGATTTCAGACCGCGCTGATGCCTCTCTCAAATGTTAGTGCGAGTGGGCTTCTCATTAGGGCCTGAGAGATATATTCATCCATTTGCAAGTGCTTGAAAGTCTGTGGCCTTTAAGAACTGATTTAATATATTAAACAAAGAGCTAATGCATTTAAAAAAAACTAACATCTAACACATCCCCATTTATAACACACATCCTTTAGCAGTTAGGGTTTTAAATGCCTTTTAGGTTGCTAACGGAAAACACAGTAAATTAACAGGATTGT